TATTACACACTTACGATATGAACCTCCAAAAAACGAAATCCCAATTCTATGCGCTGGGTAACAAAGCAAACTCTCTCCTTGCCAAAACCATTAAACAAAAACGGCTTAAAAACAAAATCGCGAAGGTTCAACACCCAATTTCAAGTGTTTCATTGTCCAACCCACAAGATATTGCTAACGCATTTGCGTGCTACTACCAATCTCTATACAATATTAAGGATGACGCAAACACGACCCAGCCTACAAACACGTCGATCGAACATTTCCTACGTCATACCGATCTCCCCCATCTTACGCCTTCCCAATTAGCCTCTATCTCTGTGCCAATTTCTCCCACAGAGATCGAGAACGCCATTAAGAAACTTCCCATGAATAAGTCACCGGGTAACGACGGCTTTACCAATGAATTTTATAAAACGTTCACGTCCAATCTCAAAACACACCTATCTGATCTCTATAACTATGTCGCTTCTAAAGGGCAATTTCCCCCTGACATGCTACAATCAATAATCTCCACTATCCCTAAACCGGGCAAAGACCCTCAATTAGTTCAGAATTACAGACCAATTTCATTACTAAACACAGACCTAAAAATTTATGCCAAGATAATAGCTCAACGACTGCTCCCATACCTTCCCACGCTAATCCATTCTGACCAAGTAGGATTCATACCAGGTAGACAAGCTCCTGACGCGACTCGACGAATTATATCACTTTTACACCATCTTGAATCAAACAAAACCCTCACTCCTCCTTTCACTTGACGCAGAAAAAGCATTTGACCTTTTCACTGGCAATTTATGACTCTTACTCCCAAAAATTCGGAATCACGGACTCGATGCTGTCAGCAATTCTATCCTTATACGCCCAAACCCTCAGCTAGAGTCCTCACCAATGGCACGCGCCCACAACCATTCCAAATCTCTAACGGCACTAGACAAGGTTGGCCCTCTCTCCCCAATAATCTTTGCTTTACTCATCGACCATTTCCAACCTTAGGAATGACCCCAATTTCTCGGGAATTAAATTTCTCAAGCATGAATACAAAATCAGTGTCTTTTTGCAGACGACATTATATTAACCTCCCTGGCCTGTATTCCCGAGTGTAGCTCGGGGTAACATTTCAGTACCAAAAGCGGTAACCCCGAGCTACACTCGGGAATACCATGCGGCACTGCTCCGGCATGTGTTCTTCACTTACCTTGACCCTGCGCTCCCACGTATGTCCCCTATTGGATCTGACCTACTGTTGTTGACCTGGCGTGTGACCCGGCTATTCTCTGTCCTGTCCCTGTGACGTCGGGACGTAGGGGCCGGGAAATTTAAAAATTGCCTGAAAATGTCTTTTTTTTGCTTTTTTTTTACATCCATCCATAGTAAAACATTCCTCCCAGCGGGGTTCCCAATTTCACATACATATTGTATCAGTGCTTTGTCCCCTGCGCCCTGCCTGCATTTTGACTGTTCTTTCTGCCTGGAAACTCAGAAATGCACGTCCCTGGTCCCGGGGTACTCCAAAAGCGGTTTCCCCATCATCAGAGAACAGCGATAGTAAAACAAGAACCACTGCAGAATTGAGTTAGATTCGTGGTGAAATTCGTGGGGGCGCCTGATTAAACGATTTTGTGACTGAGTCAGCAATGTGCGAACTTGGCGCTATATTTCACATTTCGAAATGTTTTTGGTTTGATTATATTATTGAATTAAATTTTATATTCCAAACCCTCAGCTTAGTCCTCACCAATGGCACGCTTAAACAACCATTTCCAAATCTCTTTGGTTTCAAGATTTTATCCTACCCCCCATAATCTTCGCTTAGACTCATTGTTCTACATCCAACCTTAGGAATGAGTTTTTCCAAAAATTTCTCGGGAATTAAATTTCTATTTCCATGAATAAAAATGGTACCAGTTTTTTTGCACCAAAAATCTGAAATAATCATACCGCCAGGGAGGTTAATGATCACAAACCCCTATAAATCGCTTATTTCAATACGCTCACACATACATGCCTATGCAGATGTTTCATATTATAAACTTAACGAACCCAAGTCCTCTATCTTAAACCTTTACACCCCTGCCCCGACCCAAACCCTGCTTACAAAACGATTCCCTTTTAAATGGGAACCACATAATATACCCTATCTGGGAATTAAACTAACTCCTAAAACCAACCAGCTCTACGCAGCCAATTTTAAACCGTTACTTGACACAATTCCGCGGGAGATTAAGAACTTACGTACAACCACTCTATCAATGTTAGGCAGAATAGCTACTATCAAAATGTGTATATTACCTAAAATATTATATATCTTCCGTACATTACCTATTCCTATACCCTCCTCTTTCTTCTCTACACTGCAAAAAATTCTAAATAAATTCCTATGGAACTCCAAACGGGCTAGATGCTCCACAAACCTCCTGATCCGTCCTCCTTCCAGAGGAGGAGCCGGCCTCCCACATTTAAAATCCTATTACCAAGCGGTCTTATTGGACCAGCTCTTCTACTGGTGGCACCCTACCCATGATAAAACGTGGACAATCATGGAAGCTTCCATGTACCCGTCAGGTGCCCTGTCAGATCTATTATTTACGCCACGTATGACGCAAACTGGACCTTTACACACACACCCTTGTATCCAGGCCTCTCTGATAGCTTGGCATGATTTCCTAACACATACCCATTCACACAAGACTAACATACGAATGCCTACCCCAATATCTTCTCTGCAGCTCCTATCCCCCCATTTGAACCTCACCTCTGGAGAGCGTTTGGCATACAGTATATCCAAGATATCTACAACATTCATACACCAGATTCTTTCCAAACTCTGCAGAAGAAATTTCATCTTCCTGATACGGAACTATTTACTTTTATGAGACTATCCCATCTACTCCATAGAATAAACATACCACTTGAAATTGACCTCCCTGCTACTGCGCACCATTTCTTTCACAAGACTATTTACCCAAAGAAAGGAATTCTACCTTCTATACATTACTAACCGAAGCACTTTTTATAACCCATACATCATCCTTAACTAACTGGGAGAAGACTCTGATCCTCCCAACAACCCGCAATCTTGGCAAACAACCTTTACCATCACATACAAAGCCTCAAAATGTAGTTCCCACTGGGAAATCATATTTGAAAATTCTTCACCAATGCTATTTAACCCCTACCAAATTATCTTTATACTATCCACATCAATCACAAACCTGCTGGAGACATTGTGGCGAAAGTGGCTCGCTCTTTCATTTGCTCTGGTCATGCAAATCCCTCAAGTCGTATTGGAATAAGGTGTTCCAAATAATCTCGTCAGTCTCAAATTTACCAACACCCCCAAATCCAGCTATAGCACTCCTTCATTTAACAATAGAAAAATTTCCCGTACGTTCACGCATCATTATAATACACATCCTAGTAGCAGCAAAGACCAACATTACAAAATTATGGCGATCTACGTCACCTCCCCTACTATCCCGTCTAGTTGCTGATCTCAACTTACAATGTGAGATGGAACGCAGAACGGCCCTCAGAAACTCTTCCTACCATAAATTTATACTACACTGGTCTCGATGGTTGCAACACCCCAATTGCTCAGTTACCTGATTACTAATCATAACTCTTATAGGATCCTATATTTGTAGCTCATCGGTGCCCTCCCTTATCCCCCTCTCCTTTTTTTCCCTTTTCCCTCTCCTTTATTACTACCTAGTCCCTTAAGTTTCACGGTTTTTTCTCTTAGTACGGTTCACAAACCAATGAGCATACCTCTCATGTAAACATGATTACGGAAAATCGGGCTCCCAGCCAGTAGTAGGAGGTCGGTTACATCTTTTTGCATTGCAAATACTGTTAATCCCCTAATGTGAACCTTGTACTCGACTTTTTCTATACAATGTTATGTTTGTCATGTTATTTGAAAAATTTCAATAAAAACTATTTGAATATAAAATAATTGTGTGTTGGTCAACTTTCTACTCGACAGACTTGAAATAATTTTAATTAGATTTTCATGTCCTCAAATAATTTATTGAACACAACATCCATTAAATAAATGTCGGTATTTATTAAATGCCGCTGATCATATTTTATAACATTTATTACCACTTATCATGTTAAATTATCTTCCTTTGTAAATATATTGTGTTCTGTTGCAGAAAGCCTTTTCATTACTTTCTACATGTCCTGTGGGAATGGGGCAGCAGTTGTTTTCTTTTTGTATTATTGTGAAGTTGCAAAGCAGACTAAATCATCACTTCCATTTTTTTTATGTTTTTTGTTGTTCTTTTATTCTCGATTTATGACTAAACTAAAGATAAAGAAAACACAGAACTAAAAGATCTGTATATTACTGTCCAGCTAAAATAGGATTATCTGTCAGATGAAATCTTATTTACTGTAGTTATTTAGGTAATAAAGCCTGGGCATATTTAAAGAGACTGTACATTTTTTAATATGACAAGAAAGTGTAACTCCCTGCCATCATGCAGCTAAAGGGAAATTGAAGTTGGCATTGTTTTGTCATACTGGACATTCTTTTAATATAAAAGTTTACATTTCTTTCTAACTGAACATTTTATTTTTTTAATGTAGAAAAATAAATGTTTCAACCAGCACATTAATTGTTGGAATAACATTGTCAGCCACAGTTTAAAGAATTGTTTTTTTTAACAATTTATTTTTATTTAACCACTTGCCTACAGGGCACTTATACCCCCTTCCTGCCCTAGGCCAATTTTCAGCTTTCAGCGCTGTCGGACTTTGAATGACAATTGCGCAGTCATGCAACACTGTACCCATATGAAATTTTTATAATTTTTTTGAGACAGATTTCTTTTGGTGGTATTTATTCACCTCTGGGTTTTTTATTTTTTGCTAAACAAACCGAAAACAACTGAAAATTTTGAAAATAATGCTTTTTCTTAGTTTTTGTTATAAAATGGGCACTGATAGGTGGCACTGATGGGCGCTGATGAGGAGGCACTGGTAGGTGGCACTGACAGGCATTGACAGGCATCACTGATGGGCACTGAAACGCAGCACTCATATATGGCACTGATAGGCAGCACTAATAGGTGGCACTGATAGGCGCAATGACTGGCACTGAAATGGGGCACTGACTGGCACTGTTAGGCGGCACTGACTGGCACTGTTAGGGCACTGTTAGGTGGTACTGATAGGTGGCACTGGCTGGCACTGATAGTTGGCACTGATTGGCAGTACTGATTGGTGGCACTGACTGGCATTGATAGGTGGCACTGACTGGCACTAATAGGTGACACTGAAAGGTAGCTCAGATGGGCAATGATATGTGGCATTGATGTGCACTGGTAGGCACTGATATGTGGCATTGATGTAGCACTGGCAGGTGGCATTGATGAGCACTGACAGGTGGCATTGATGAACACTGACAGGTGGCATTGATGGACACTGACAGGTGGCATTGATGACCACTGACAGGTGGCATTGATGGACACTGACAGGTGGCACTGCTGGGGCTACACTGATCATCAGGGCACACTGATCATCATTGCCCTGATCATCAGTGTACATGTCCCCTCTGAGGAATGCTGATTACCGGCTCTCCTCTCCTCACGAGCTGTCAGCATGACAGCTCGTGGGGAGAGAAATGCAGATAACTGGCATTTCCATATTTACATGCGATCAGCTGTGATTGGACACAGCTGATTACATTACCGAACCGACATCTTTGGCTCTTTCCGTTGATCAGTGATCCTCTGTGTCTGAGGGACACAGTACACCAGTCATCAACGTGCTACGCGCACCCAGAGCCACAAACGAGTGGTTAAAGTGGGAGGACATCATATGACGTCCTCCCAGAACAGAGAACCTCCTTGCGCCCGTCATTTCCTTATATTGTGGGTGGGAGGTGGTTAAAGAATATCTTAACGCATAAACAAGAATTTAATATGTTGCTTCTTAACAGACCTTACAGTAGATTCAGTGGCTATATTCATTTTCTTTTTTTCAGGCTTTTTCCTTTTATTTTCACCTAGTAATCCTGCCAATAACATACTTCCTGTCCCTGGGTGGCTACACTCACTTTTCCACTTTATCTATGTAGCATTCTAACATGTATTTCCATGTGTTGTGCCATATTTCAATGCAAACTTGTGATTTAACTCTTTAGCTTGATTCCAATGTTTGTTTCCATTTCAGTAGAGTACTTTTTCTAACATAGAAGAGTAACAGTCTAAATCTAAGGGTTTAATGATTTGAAAGGATCTTTAAGAAAAACCCTTGAAAACAATATTTTAAAGTTTAAGATGTAAGGAAGATCCGCTCTCTCATGTTCAACTATAATTTGGGAAATATGGTTTCAGACCATATTTACACATGGACATGCAGTATGCAGAACATATGAAAGAAAGCACCTCTTTCAGGAAGACATTTTGACCATAAAGTGGTTGTAAGAAAATAAAATATATATATATATATATATACAGTATATACTGTATAGTGTGTATATATATACAGTATATATATATGTATATATATATATATATATATATATATATATATATATTTAAATAACAAACATGTTAATACTTACCTGCTCTCTGCAGCCCAGTTCCTCTTCTCCTGGGGTTCTCTGCTGGTGCTCTTGGCTCCTCTTTTGGGCTTGATCTTGGGCTGCGCTGCCTGAATTCATAGACACCGATAGTGTGGCTTGTCCTTGTTCCCTGTTCCATCATAACAGGAGGGATCCTGCTGCTGCTTCATACAAGCCTATGTGAGCTCAGAGAACCATTACAGATAGGGACAGCACTGGGTTCAAGAAGGTGGGGGGGGGGGGGGGCTGAGAGGGCTATACCAATACCTAAACTTTTTACCTTGATGCTGGAAATTCTTTAAAAGGTAAAACATGTTTAGGCTTTAGAACCACTTTAAGCCAGTGCATGAGGGATACATTTTCTTCATTTTACAGTGGTCATGTACTGTATGTTCAGTGGATACTAAGTTTTATTTGGAGTGTTATGTCAGGGTGTTAGGTATAATTCTGGACTCTGACACATCCTGTCAATTCCAAAACCAATCACTATTCAAATCCTCTGTAACATTTCCAAACTATGCCCCTTCTTAAGGAAACCACCAAGCTACTAATAACTCCCTTGTTTTCTTTTGTCTTTTGTAACTCTCTTCTGGTTGTCCTACCTCTGCAGCAGCTATCCCTTCTTCTGTCTGCCGCAAATGCTTCTGCCAGACTTATCTACTTTACCAAATGCTCAACGTCCACCACCTCTGTCTGCTAATCGCTCCACTGGCTTCCACTTGCCCAAAGAGAAAATTTCAAAACACCAAGAAAAACATGCAAAGCCATTTGCAGCTCTGTTCCTAGCTACATTACCAGTCTCCACTTGAAATATCATCCAAGTTATCCTCTTTGCTTCTTTCAAGAACTCCTGCATTCGATCTATTTTGGAACCTACTCCCATGCTCATCTCCTGGACTTTTTCAGAGCTTCCACCATTCTCTAGACCCCTCTACCCCAATCTGTCTAGTTATCTCTAGCTTTTTTCTCAGTGAATAGGTGCAGCAACTCCCCTCTTCTGAGTCACCTCTTGTCTGCGCCCCCTACCCACCTCTGAGTATTGTCTCATGGTTCTGCCCCTTTTGGAGAATACACAAAATGATACCAAGTATAATTTTCTGGTGCTAAATAATGTGTATGGAATTTGTTAATGATAACAAGAAAAGCAGTAAAATAGATTCCCCCCAGCAACAATAGATCCACCCTAGCAACAATAACCCCCCCACCCACAACAACATACCATCCCAGAAACAAAATATGCACCCTACCAGAAACAACAAATCTCCCAATAACCAGCATCAACAGACCCTCCAGCAGTCAGCAAAAATAGACCTCTCAATAGATTCTTCCCAGCAACAATAGATTCCCTATCAGCAACAATAGACCTCACCAGTAACAATAGACCCTCACACAAAAATAGATCTCTATCACCGACAATAGATCCCCCATCAGCCAGTATCAATAGACCCTCCAGCATGCCCCAGCACTCCTTGCTATTATACACATCCAATGCTGGAGGTGCCAGAACTGCATTCCCCACATTCCCACTGAACGAATCCTGTATTATCTTGTATTGTATTGTAATTGTACTGTTACTCTATATTTAAAAGTGCTGGCAATATATTAGTCCTTTATTATAGTAATTAAATGTCAGACTAGTGATGTCCTCTTTTTCCAGTCTACTACCATAATTTTGTTGGTTTTTAACACATTTACAGTATATATTAATGAAAATAAATTGACCTTAAGATAAACTCAGGTAATTACTAGTGATATTCTCTTTTTCCAGTCTGCTACCATAATTTTGTTGGTTTTCAACACATGTTTACAGTATATATTAATGAAAATAAATTGACCATAAGATAAACTCAGGTAATTACACTAGTTATGTTTAAAAATACAATAAATAATTGTGTGATAAACTAACTCGATTCAAATTTGTGTTTTATATCTTCCATAGTTCAGCATTAGATTTTAATTGCGTTTAATTGGAAAAATCCTTCTGTAACTTTTGTACAGATTAATGACAGAAGCAACACTATTATGTTGTCAGAGAGAATTTTTCAAACTCTTTCTGATTCCATGCATACTTTCATGCAAAATAGGATATCTGTTCTTCTATTTTCAATACAATAGTGGGCTAATGTTTTTTTATATATACAGTAAATCTCTTATTATGGCATTGTTGGTATGGCTACAACTGATGTCTTATGTACCCTTCCTTTCTAATTTGTTTTTAAAAAATTTTTATTAACATTTTATTTTGTGTTTGTTATTGGATGAGCATATTATTTAAAAAACAAATTCTCAATTTGATCTATTTTTGTTATAACATTGAAAACTTATCAGCTCTTATACTTACTAAAGTTATACTATTTTTGTAGACATGACTGTTTATATTTTGTAATTATAATCTGGCATATGATTTCAATAAAAAACATGAGGGTGCTGTGCTTAAAATAACTATAGCAAATAAGTAGATGGAATATAAGTCCAATTCATATATGATAAAGATGAAATAAGCCCCTCTTCATTGGGACATCAATAATGTCATAAATGCTTCAATCTGGTCAGGGAGATAAAGGGGATCCACCATCACCAACACCCAAAACATTCTGCCTCTTACCAGAGCAAAATGACCCCCAAATATGGACGGGTCAAAATGCGCACTGCGAATTCCAAAAGTAGCCTATGGACCTAGACACTTTATGGCTCCAAAGGAACAAAACTGGCCCCCAGTTGTGGGAGGATAAACACCCGTTAAACTGATTCCAAAGGCAAGCTGTGGTCAGGACACTGATATAACTCCAAACTTGAACTTCAGAAATTGGATTGAAAAGTGAACCTGATCCACAAGAGGTTTACTTTTTTGTCAGTTTATTTGATTGTTTGAACAGATTTTCAGATTGCATCATTAACTGTAGATGATATCTCAGCATTCACTTCCTGTTCCTGAGATATCATCTACAGACCCGTCCATATTTGGGGGTCATTTTGGTCTGGTAAGAGGCAGAATTTTTGGATGTTGGTGATGGTGGATCACCTCTATCTCCCTTGGACTTCTATTCCATCTACTTATTTGCTATAGTTATTTTAAGTGCCGCACACTCATGTTTTTTATGTTTTGTGTATTGTTGCCTGTAATGCTGTGGTGGATGCTCATACTTTTGTATTGATTTATTTATGTTAAACAGTTATATTATACATCACAGCGCAGAATTGTTTAATCACTTGCCGACCAGCCACTGTAGAAAAACAGTGACAGGCCGGCACCGCTGCACAAAATCACGTTTTAAAACGTCATTTTGCAAAACAGGTAGGGGGCGCAAGCGAGGCGCGTGCCCGCCCTACCTGTCCCGCCAATCGCAGCAGCGGATGTCAATCACCGGGTCCCGGCCGGTCATTACCCGCCGGGTCCGGACGATTGCTGGCAATGACACAGAGCACAGCTGCATTGTTTACACTACAGCTCTGCTCCCTGTCAGCTCCTAACACTCTGATCCTGAGAGTGGAGTTTATCTCTCAGGATCAGCGTGTTCCTGTGAAGTACACTCCCCCGCCCCCTAGTAAAACACTCCCCTCACATAGTTAACCCTTTCATTGACTAAAAAAGTTAACCCCTTCCTCCCCGGTGCCATTAGTAAAGTGTCAGTGTTTTTTTTACACTGATCACTGTATTGGTGTCACTGGGGATGTCAGTGACCCCAAGTCAGTTCCCCCCCACGTCAAAATGTCCGCCACAGTCCCGCAGTCCCGCCATAAGTCACTGATCACTGTCATAAATCGCTGATCACCGCCATAAGTCGCTGATTGCCGCCAGTATTAGTATAAAAAAAAAATCTCAGTATCTTTCCCGCCATTTGTAAATGCTATAACTTTCACGTAAACCAATTAATTTACACGTATTGGGATTTTTTTTAGCAAAGACATGTCGCAGAATACATTTTGGCCAAAATTTATGATGAAATTTGATTTTTAATTTTTTTTTTACTGGACATGTTTTTATAGCAAAAAGTCCAAAATATTGTTTTTTTTTTTTCTCAGAATTGTCAGCCTTTTTTTTTATAAAATAAAAAAACGCACGTGCGATCAAATACCACCAAAAGAAAGCTCAATTCGTGGCAAAAAAGGCCGTAAATTTAATTTGGGTGCAGTGTTGCACGACTGCGCATTTGTCAGTTAA